CAGACACTCAACAACAAACAAACCTCCAGTTGGGTGGAGCCGGGGAGGTGTGCCAGGGCTAGGGGTCCGTGAGGTGGAAGCGGGTAAAGAAACCGGGGCAATGCCGGGTACACCAAGGTGAAGCCAGCAGAGCAAGCCACCACCACTGGATCCCACCAATGTGGAGCAGAAGACCACCACAGCCGAGCAGATAGGACTGAAGAGAGTCCAAAACAACCTCCATTGCCATGACCAGATAGGCAGATAGTTCAGAAACAACCTCTTTGGATGTAATAGGGTCGGTAAAGAGTTCAGAGACGGTCTTCTTGGTCGTATCCGGCAGGCAGAGGTTTCAGGGATGGGTTACTTGGCCGTGACAGGACAGGTCAAGAGTTCAGAGATGGCCTCCTTGAAATACTATTTATTACAAGTGCGATTAAAAAAACAAATTTGTCAGCGCCGATTGCCTTGTGGGCAAGTGTGTTAACATGTAGCGCAGCTGTGCTTCGGGCGACCCGAGTTCGAGTCCCGTGGACCTTTCCCGATCCCGCCCCCCTCTCTCTCTGTCTCTCTCTCTCTCCCACCTCACTTCCTGTCTAGCTACAGTCCTATCCTAATAAAAGGCAAAAACGCCAAAAAATAAACCTTTTAAACAACAACGTTTTTGTTTGTTCGTGTCATTGTTTTCTTAATTATGCTCAACATGCTGCCAGTCAGGGAACCAATAATTTACTAATTAACTAATCAATACATGGACTTACAATGTTTACTTGAGTTGAATATTAATATATTGCATGAAAAAAGCGTAGTCAAGTTGAATATACAAAGGATTATTAGGAACACCACACTAATACTGTGTTTGACCCCCTTTCACCTTCAGAACTGCCTTAATTGTACGTGACATTGATTTAACAAGGTGCTGAAAGCATTCTTTAGAAATGTTGGCCCATATTGATAGGATAGCATCTTGCAGTTGATGGAGATTTGTGGGATGCACATCCAGGGCACGAAGCTCCCGTTCCACCACATCCCAAAGATGCTCTATTGGGTTGAGATCTGGTGACTGTGGGGGCCATTTTAGTACAGTGAACTCATTGTCATGTTCAAGAAACCAATTTGAAATGATTCGAGCTTTGTGACATGGTGCATTATCCTGGTGGAAGTAGCCATCAGAGGATGGGTACATGGTGGCCATAAAGGGATGGACATGGTCAGAAACAATGCTCAGGTAGGCCGTGGCATTTAAATGATGCCCAATTGGCACTAAGGGGCCTAAAGTGTGCCAAGAAAACATCCCCCACACCATTACACCACCACCACCAGCCTGCACAGTGGTAACAAGGCATGATGGATCCATGTTCTCATTCTGTTTACGCCAAATTCTGACTCTACCATCTGAATGTCTCAACAGAAATCGAGACTCATCAGACCAGGCAACATTTTTCTTCAACTGTCCAATTTGACAACATTTGTCTTCAACTGTCCAATTTTGGTGAGCTCTTGCAAATTGTAGCCTCTTTTTCCTACTTGTAGTGGAGATGAGTGGTACCCGGTGGGGTCTTCTGCTGTTATAGCCCATCCGCCTCAAGGTTGTGCGTGTTGTGGCTTCACAAATGCTTTGCTGGTACCTCGGTTGTAACGAGTGGTTATTTCAGTCAAAGTTGCTCTTCTATCAGCTTGAATCAGTCGGCCCATTCTCCTCTGACCTCTAGCATCAACAAGGCATTTTCGCCCACAGGACTGCCGCATACTGGATGTTTTTCCCTTTTCGCACCATTCTTTGTAAACCCTAGAAATGGTTGTGCGTGAAAATCCCAGTAACTGAGCAGATTGTGAAATACTCAGACCGGCCCGTCTGGCACCAACAACCATGCCACGCTCAAAATTGCTTAAATCACCTTTCTTTCCCATTCTGACATTCAGTTTGGAGTTCAGGAGATTGTCTTGACCAGGACCACACCCCTAAACGCATTGAAGCAACTGCCATGTGATTGGTTGATTAGATAATTGCATTAATGAGAAATTGAACAGGTGTTCCTAATAATCCTTTAGGTGAGTGTATGCTAGTGTAGCTTGTGCAATACTTATATAGGTACGTGATTACGTGGATACCGTGCAATGAGGTTCGCCAATTACGTTTACTTGCTGTTTGCGTCATCCAATAGCCACACAGAGGCGGCTCATGACTCGCTCGCACTCGGTTGTCATATCTTTACTAAAGGAAGACTGGCGATCTTAGCTTGATTTTGATTTTTATTTCAGCTTGACAAATGTGGCCATGATTTATCCAATGCAATACGGTCAACAGAAAGTTGGCTCCCGTTATTCGCCCCTTCCAACACTAGCTCAAACAATAAAGGAAATAATAAAGAAAACGGTGCCCCCGTGCCAGTGAATAACCAATAAGAAATTTCAAAGAATGAATGCTCCTACACTTGCGTTTGTGGAAGATATAATGCCCCTGGAAACACAGTATTCTAAACAGAAAGTGAAAATGAGGATGAAAAAGATATTTTTTTTTTTTACAAATATTTTAACGCTTTTGGCACAAAATGTCTGGCAAATAAACCCCAGTCTCCTTTGTTAAGTTGATTCACGGCTACACTGACCTTAATTATTTCCACCTGTCCTTGTTCTCTCTCCTTTATATTCTCATCTTGTTCTCAGTTATTTGGTAAATCGTTCCCTAAGTCGGTCCGTCCTCCAGTCAGTCTCGCCTAGTCTTGTATTGAGCTGTTGTGTTCTGTAGACTAACTCTCTAGTCCTGTCTAGTCTAGTTCTTGCCTAGTTCTGTCATGTTCTGTTCCTGTTTTGTTCTTTTTTGACAAGTCATTTGCAAACATAATCATTTGCAGAAAAACAAAGCCTTTAAGACCCAGCAGAAGCCTCTGCAAGCGGGTTGCTTCGGCAGTGGGCGGGACTAATGTGAATACTGTAATCCCATTGGCTATTGCTCACCTTTCACTGTTTATGCTTGATTTCAGCAAATTACTTCAGGAAAATAAGACTGATATTGGCCAACATTATAAAATGACCCTGCCCTGCTTGCACATCACAAGTTTCCAAATATTAATAGTTAACTTAACATTGCAAAGGCATTGATACCCTAATTTAGAAATCAAGACAATAATCGGAATCACAAAATGCTTGAAACGACTGACATCGGTAATAGCAAATAGACGACTCTGCACATTAAACAAATATTAACAAGTGTTGTTGAGAGAAACTGTGTTTGCTATCTCGCCACAGACTGTTGTTCATCTGCATCTACACAACCTTGTCCTGTCTCAGCCAGTGGCATCAGGCTCAAGGGTTGGGCTTGCCAGGGAAGACATTTGCATAGCAACAGCAGTTCTCCCCTTCACACACCACGTTTGAATAAGAATAATATACGAGCGCTGCCAGAAGGTGATTATCAGTGACAGATTAGGGTATGGCCATAACATGAAGCTGCTATATGACTTCAGAAGACTGTCAAATGGTCATATGGACTGCTAATATTTTATGGTGATTTTTGGACTTTGCAGCCCCTGGTCCTTTCTGTTGTATTGAAAAGGCCAAACATGGATGTTTTACTTTGAGGAAAAGTCATTTGAGTGTTGAATGTCGTAAGGGCAAGTAATGAAAAATAGCATGAATAACATGGAATGCCTAAAGTTATTGCACTTCATTGTGTCTCAGCACAGCATATCAAAATAACAATAATAGTTATGTGGTGTTGCACAGGTCACACTGTAGAAATGATCTTCGCAAAGTTGTAAATAAAACAGTATGTTTTACAAGAAAATACTATTTAAATTTTTTCCACGGAAATTGTACTTTTCATTCAGTGTTTTATTTGCAGTTTCTTTGCATTTGTTTGTGAAATTTAACAGTCTATGAGTTTTTTCGATACCCTTTTTTATTGTATAATTTCATTACCACCCATTAAAAACGTCTGAAGCACGCCAATAGTCCAGGCCGGGTCTATTTTTGGGAGTGCTTTCCAAGATAGATGGAGAAATTACTATGACAAGTAAACTGAAAGGCCACCGTAGCCACTTTTACAACACAGAGTCATCAGACAGTCAGGTGAGGCGTCGGTTCAAACCCTATTACTGCAGCGCAGTGTTCATCTAAAGAGGATTATCACTCATCAGAACCTGTCTTCACTGTTAAGCATGCAGAAGGTCACCTTTACTCTACGGGTAATCCGTCTGAAGGAATATAACCAACTGAAAAGACAGTGCAATAGAGTAGCGAGACCATAATTGACCTTTGTGTCTGAGGGGAAGACCACAAATCATATATATTGAGTAAAAAACTGTCTAGAACAAAGAAATCTATACGGCCAACAGCCAAACGAACAACATTTACTTACAATTCACTGCTAACTTAGTAACTAATACTAACAAAGAAGAGATAATATTTCAAACAAAAGCCATTATTGTCATTCAACAGTCTCAGAGTCCATCACAGTCCAGTTCGCAAACAACATCCTTTCCTTAAGAGCAACAATGAGTTTCTGATGAAGGAATGAAAATCATCATTCAATACAATCAGTTGAGCCTGATCATGTGACTTTCACAACACACAAGCTCTTTCTCCATCCATGCGCCCAATGTTTTGTACACTTAAAACGCCCTGATGCTTTTCCGTGGCTCCTAAACATTGACCCCCATTATTAAAGTTATCAGGGTATTTGTCACAGTAGACAGACAAAGAGACAGAGTTAAGCTAAAAACTACTGTAATGTTTTCAAATGCCCATATGTATGACAGGTGTATGAATGCTAAATGTTACTATAAATTTGAACTGTATATCCATATCTGTTGTTAATGCAGTGTAATGTGTATTATTGTGTATATTGCGTATATATTTTTGATTTGTTTTGCAGTTGTAAGCAATGCAAGTAATGCCCTCTGAATGCATTGCCTTGAGGAAGAGTCCCACAGAGAAATGAAGAACGATGTCGTCGTCTGAAGCCCAGCTCTTGATAAAGCAGTTTAGTCTGAGAGCTCACGACGTGTGGAATTACTCACTCAGAGCGTAGAGGGACAGTGTGATTCCTGCCAAGCAGAAGCCCTCGAAGAAGCGCAGGGTGCTGAACATCGGGACGTTGACCGAGAAGGCCACCGTCATGCCGAAAACTATCATGAAGAAGACGGACAGGATCAGGACCGGGTGCCTTCCGAACCTGAGTGTTAGAGAAGTGAAGCATTTCATCAAAAAGCCAATCTCCAGAGCGGTGTATACCGAGTGGTTCGACTGGTTTGGCTTCAGGAACCAGAATGTATATTAGATCATATCATATAGGATGTTAAGTTGGCAACCATATATAAATGCAGGACTGAGAAATGTATAATGTTGATGTATTACAATACTGCCTTTTAATCCACTTTGAGCAGTTATATTACATTTGGCTATGACATAAACAATCACCCAGGTGAGATTCGCAATGTAATAAATATGGCTTAGTGTAATTTGGGGACTTTTGAGCTTGGAAACTTTTTTTAAAAATCATTTTTTTGTGTGTTTCATAATTGAAGGGACATGTAAAGCGTTTTAAAAGTCAAAGAGATCAAGCGTAATCACCTACACAGTACGATTTATAGAAAGTTTTAAAACAAATAACTGACATAAATAATAAATTCTGCAGTTCTTACTGTCCTTACAAACTCTAATTAATATGGAAAAGACTTGTATTGCTCACAGAAGTGGGCAGTAATTCATTACATTTACTCAAGTAATGTTTTGCTAAACAATACTTTATAAAAACACAACTTCTTACTCTTGTACACTTGTTAAACTGTGAATATCATTTCATTCGTGTGCACATTAGCATCATCTCTCTGATGCACTCATGTTTATGCTAATAACTTTTGAACCATAAGGGCTAGAAGAAATCTGATTCCTTGGCTCAAGACGTCTTTTTCCGTCAGTAAATTTAGAAAACCTACTTTTCAGATCATCTTCAGACCACGCTGACGAAAAGTTACGGAAATCAAGGCAATTAGTCAAACGGTTCTCGAATACTGCGCAAACGAATTCAACGAAAAGCACGCCAAAATAAACGTGAGGCTATATCTCCACAACGCTTAAACGCAATCTGACCAAACTTGGTGTGTGTTGTGACAACCATGATCTGAGGTTACCTGCACAGTTTCGGTGCAGTGCCACCTAGTGATCAGGAGATATGAAAAAATGGCTGCTTTTGCTTATAACTTCTAAACGGTTTGCCCAAACATCACAAAACTTTAGATTTGGTGCAGCATGCCGAGTCATATGGTACCCAATATTCCCATATTGGCCATTTTGGGCATCGGCCATTTTGAATTAATTTTGTCATAAGATGCTTTATGTTTATGTTTGACGAATGCATTAACATATCGTTACGAAACTCTGTATGTGGTATCGGCACCAAGGTACTCAAAGCGTTTTGAGATATATATCAATTTTGCCATAGTCGGATAAACTTCCTGACTTTTTCGAACTCCTCCTAAACCATTGGTCCAATTTTAACCAAATTTGAGTCAGATCATCTTCAGACCGCACCGGCAAAATTGTATTTCGTGTCAATAGACAAAAACGCTATCATTTAACAAATCAACAAAGTTGACTAAATGACTCTGAGGCTTTATCTCTGCAATGCTTTGGCAAATTGACACCAAACTTTGCATGTGTCATTGTCACCTCACCCTGACCACATCACATCAATTTGGCCACAGCGCCACCTATTGGTCAAAAGTAATAAACAATTCAATCATATTACTAGTAATTCTATTTAAGATTTTTCAATCATTCTAATGAAAATCCCCTAAAATATCTTATTCATTGTTGCAGTTAGTCTGATGCTTGCACAACTTATCGTTCCTTCTTTGAGCTTGGCCCCGATAATTGTGAACAGATTGTTTTTCCTCTCTATAAAACACATTGCCTTACGCAGTTATTGATTTGTCTTCTTCAAATTAACATTGCTTGGGAAAAAAATCATATACTATATTGCAAATATACAAGTTGTAAGGAAAGTTGTGACACTGTAAGAATATTTGGTCGCATGTTGACGGCACTGACGGTGGGACAATGTACCGTGTGTCTACCAGCACAATGAAAATGACTGTGACCATGAAGTCACAAAAAAGCAGCAAATACGCTTGCACACTTTTAAAATGAGAAACATTTGGAAACAATGAAGTATTTCTCATAAATGTAGGAGACTATAAAACCAGCTCTTTAATATGAGCTCAAGTAGTTCTCAGTACCAGTTTCAATTCCACAGCTATATATATATATATATAAAATAATATTGGAACTATTTAGCCATTTTATTTTGATATTGGAACATAAAAAAAATATTATGCTAGATCTATTTTGACATATCAGATTTTCCCCATCCATGTTTATAGTTATTACTATGTCAATCATTGCGATTTGGGAATCAGTCCTGTTTTTAAATATCTTTGTCACTCCCAACACATTGCAGTATGTACTTGACAACATGAAAAATAACACTTTTATTCAAATTACGAATGGTTTATAAACAGAAGGAGTGCATAGAGAGCTCTCTTTATAAACACTGAGCAATCAGTTCGGTTGCCTGTAAATCACTGTGCTTTGCGTCAGCACCTCACGTTTGGCTTCATAAATCTCTCAGATGTAAATAACACAGGCTGTGTGTGTGTGACACAATGGGGAAGGATTACTGAGAGAGGCAATCTGAGGCAATGGAGAAGTTTCAATTTTGTTTAAATCAAATCAAATGAATCCATTAAATATCTCTTTCACACATGGCTGTAGGTTGTGCAGCAAGTAAACAACTCTGTACTACATTTTACAAAAGACTATTAAACTATTAAATACACAAACCACTAAACATACCACTTAAATTATCACGCTAACATGGTTTTTGGACATCTGAAGTAACTAGAAACTCACTATTCTAATAATTGGATACTTTTTTTTTAATACTTACTCAAGTAATTATTAACATCATAATTTTACTTCTACTTTTACTTCTGGTTACTCTATCATGTTTGGGACACAGTGTTATAATGAAGAGAAGTTACTCTTTAATGCATTAATATCTGAAAGAAAATGAGTTTTGATTCAAAAATACAAGAAAGTAAGACATTTTTAGACATACTCACCAATCTGCCAAAACTCCCAACACCAGGTATCCAAAGATGGAGCCCACCAACAGGGAAAACTTGGCAATGTGAACGATCCAGGCGGAGTCGCACACTAGATTCCACTGTTGGGACAGAAAAATGGGTTATTATTCAAAACATTTCAAGCTTTTCTGTCACCATAGGAAGAAACGTAATTATTAAAATGTGCCATTACTGTTAACAATATGGTAATTCGGTTTTCTAAACCACCATTTTTTTTTAGGGATGCACCGATATGAAAATTTTTGCCGATACCTCTTTATAATTGACAGCCGATAACCGATATATTGGCCGATAAATCTAAATTCGAATTTTTAGATAATTTTTGAGAGCCTGATTACAAAACAAAGGTCTCACCATTAAAAGCCATGTCCCAAGCACACAATTATAATGCTCTTATGATAACTGTATGTAGCCTATATGACAGACTTGCACTGCACATGTTGCACTGACCTGTATTTTTCTTTTATATTTCCAGCAATTCAAACCCATCATGTTGAACAGAGCGCATCTGAAGTGTCTCAGCTGAAGGAAATAATACATTACTTATCGGCTTTAATATATTGGCCAAATTTTCTTATTGGGCCGATAACGATAACATTCAAAATGATCATATATCGGCCGATACCGATATGGTGGCAGATATATCGTGCATCCCTAATTTTTTTTTTGTTGGTTTGTTTGTTTTTGTTCTTAATGAATAATCAACATGATTGTACTTAATTCAGAATACTTTTTTTTAGCAAGAACAGGTGGTATACTTACAAAGACCATACAAACACATACAGACAAACATTAAAAAAGCCTTTTCACAGGTGTGTTTGTCTCCTATAATGACCCAACAGGAAGTGTTTGATAATAGGGAGTTACCAAGATAGGGTGAGCATTTGGCACGTCATGGGATTTCAACATAGCGGCCACTAAAAATGTAGTTATGTAAAACTAATATTTTTCATAGACAAATGTGAGGCTTGTCCATGCCAAATTTGCTAGCATGATGCTAAGGGTTGTCGGTGGTTGTTTACAGGCTCTAGTCTTTTTATTTGTTTTTTTTTTATTGTTTTTCTTTCACCTTTAAATTGCATAAAAGTTGTATTTCATGTCTGTTTCAACCCTGTAAATCCTAACATATAACAGCCAGAAAAAGAAAAAGAAAAATTGTGAGATGTTGCATATGTGTTTTATGGTTTGAATATGAAGCTCAAACAAATGAAAAAGAGGAAAAACAACTCAGATTTATTTGGTGCAGATGCTGATATTTATATGGCCAAAAAGTTGAAAGTCTGATGCTTGTAATGCAAAACAATGAGATCTTTATAACTGTATAACAGATACTTGCAAAAAATGCATATAAATATTAATATCCGCCAATAATATGTCTTAGTAAGATGATTAAATGCTTAGTTTTATGACCAGAGCTCTGTAGTTTTAAAACATATAATACAGTGGTGATTGAGAGATGAACAAATAAACCTTCCTCAAAAGCCTGATGATCATTTGATACTTGATTTTTCTAATAAATGATGTCTGTATAATCAATTAAAATGAAGCTGCTTCAGTCCAGTAAGTGTTCATCTTGAAATATTACTAACAATCAAAGTTATTCTTGTATCAAAGACTTGTGAACCACAATATTTTTACACCACATTTTTTTACCTTATTATATAAGTATTATATATTTTACTGGCTAAAACAGTCAGTCAGTCAGACGGCAGAATGGATTGTGTGTGACAGGTTTACCGGTGAAGTTTTGATCATGTTGACCCTTTAGAGGCTTAAGAAAAAGTGAAAGCATTGACACAACGACACGCAGATAAGTCACATGACCACTCACAGAACAGCTGGGAAAAAAATAACCTTTAAATAACACCATTTCCCCTTTTTTTTCTGAGAACCAGGCCAAACCCTGTCAAATCCGCATGGTTTGCACTTTGATATGTTGCACAAATGCCCTATAATGCTGAACAAACGTTTCCAAAGCAGGCGTACAGCGAGATAAAACTCATATCACATTTTCTAGAGGAACAAAACTCGCTGCGCTAGCTGGAGTGTGTTTAATCAGAGCGTGTGTTTGCAGCTCCACAGACACAAAGAGAACGCGCTCTCCTCTATTGTGTGATGACTGAGCCACGCCCGTCACATGCTTCAGGATTAAACCTTACTCACACACACACACACACACACACACACATTACTCATGGACACCATCATACAGTGTCATTGTCTTCTTCTGTTTGGTTTCTTTGTCATGGCTGAGTTCTAGTTCATAGTTGGTTTCCATGGTTTCTGATTAGTTACACACCTGATCCCTGTTTCTCTGAAGCGTTTCTATGGCAACACTATCAATGAGGTCAGGTGGTACAAGTAGGAGCTAAATCCCAGTTTACAAGTTGTAATTACGAGTTCTATGAGGACGTGAACGCTAGTTGAAATGTTGATGACAGGAATTAGTGAACTTTGTTTGAACTGAACACTGAACGTTTGCTGTGTTGATTAAAGTCTCTGTATCGATCGTTCTGTTTTCATTTAAACTACACGCAACCACGACTGACATACAGAGTAGGTCATTTGTTGAGTTTTTATTTATTTATTATTATTCTTTATATACATATTTTGTAGTGACTAAAACAGAGGTTTTTTTTTAGATTGCACTGGATAGAAGTGTAATTTAAAATACTATTAATTAAGTTTTAAAACTAAACTTTTACCAGGGTCATTTCTAACAAAACATTTTAATATTTAACTATGAACTATTTTGTCTAAAAATTGCCATTGCATGAAAAATACCTAGTAATAATTTTGATGAAATCTGCTACTCAAATAATTGGTAACAAAATATTTTGAAAAAATGTAATTAGCAAAAAGATTCAATATTCAGTTCCCAAAAACTTGGTGACCCCGACCTTCCACCATTTACAACCTGTCAAACGTTTGGAAATATTGCAAATGATTTTATATTTTTGATACAAGTCTCTTCTGCGCTACTAAGGCTGCATTTATTTGATCAAAAAACAGTAAGAACAGTGAAATATTTTTGTAATTTAAAACAGAGAGAGAAAAGAGAGAAAACTCTGCTTTTACTCATCAAGGACGCATTGAACTATTCAGCAAAGAATCTTTTCAACGCTGATATGTGTGTGTGTGTGTGTATGCATTATATGCTATATGTATATTATTTTCTCTCCTTTTCAGTTTACATTGTAATTATCTTCTTTGTTTATCTCATACTTTAAAATAATAAAAAACAAAGTTACCAAAAATGTGGACATTACATAAAATTGTCGCCCAAAAAGTAACATTATAGTGAATGATGATCTTTTCATTACATTTATTTGATTTTTACACAAACTGTAGTGTTGACTGAATTGATTGACATTAACAAGTCGTCCTTATTTCAACAGGTATTATATTTTACCATATTAGTGGACAGTCCTGATCATGGTTTTACAGTAGTAAATCCGCATGTAACTGCAGTCATGATGATTGACAGAAACTACACTGCAAAAATTAATCTCAACTCATTATACTTTTGTCTCTTTTTTAGCGTGGGCTTTTTTGAGTTTTTACTTTCTTACTTTCAAAAGTTGCATTTTTTTATTCTGTCAATTCAAATACATTGGATCAATTGGATAAACAGTGAATTAATGTTAGAGTTTATTATTAAAAGATAACTAACATATTAAAAGATACAGTATAGGTGCCATGGTAAAAATAAAGGGAAGTAATAAGTGCTGTTTTACATAAATACACAACCTCACAAACCAGACTAACTCTTCAAACAAATGTGTGTTTGAGAACAGAGAGGATGAAGGATCATTACAGAGTCAGAGAGTGAGATGATGATGTTATAATAATAGTGTAAGTATATGTAGGCTTGTATACTCGGCAGCCAGCTCTCCTCAGAGTCTCTCACACACAGATAAATGAATCGGGGAAAAGGGAAGATACGCAGAACACATCGAGCGCCAGTGAGGAAAAGACAGAGATTGCCGCATAGTTTCTGCCTGGCAACAGACCGGTGTGAGAGCCGCCACACAGAAACACAGGCAGCCCTCGCTCCGATGCCTTTATGAGTTTATGATTCAAAGGAAAGAACCACACGAGAGACACATAATGAGAGACAGAGGAAGTGAGACGTTTAGACAGTGAAATGAAAGGCTCTCAGATGCAGTACGAGAATGACTTAACATTTCAGACTGTAGGAATGGTCAATGCTCCAGGGGTTCTGGCTCTTTTTGAGCCACAAATATGTAGTGCAACTGGATATTTAAGGTATTTTGTAAAGGCAAACTTACAAAAGAAGTGCATCGTTTCACCAAATTTTGAGTAAATGAAAAATCTAAAACAAACGTTGCAGGGCTTTTGGCCCGGTTTCCTTTGGTCTGAAGAGGGACTGAGACTTGAGGAGTGGTGAAGGTCAGAGGTTATCTGAGTTTCATTTCCTGAACAGACACTGATAATATCGTATCTGGGCTCAAGTATCACGATAATATCATATTGTGGCGATAATATCGTATCGTGGCTCAAGTATCACGATAATATATTATTGTGACTGAAGTATCACGATAATATCATATCGTGGCGATAATATCGTATCGTGGCTCAAGTATCACGATAATATCGTATCGTGGCTCAAGTATCACGATAATATCGTATCGTGGCTCAAGTATCACGATAATATCGTATCGTGGCTCAAGTATCACGATAATATCGTATCTTGGCTCAAGTATCACAATAATATCGTATCGTGGCTCAAGTATCACGATAATATCGTATCGTGGCTCAAGTATCACGATAATATATTATTGTGACTGAAGTATCACGATAATATAATATCGTGGCGATAATATCGTATCTTGGCTCAAGTATCACGATAATATCGTATCGTGGCAATAATATCGTATCGTGGCTCAAGTATCACGATAATATCATATCGTGGCGATAATATCGTATCGTGGCTCAAGTATCACGATAATATCATATCGTGGCGATAATATCGTATCTTGGCTCAAGTATCAAGATAATATCGTATCGTGGCTCAAGTATCACGATAATATTGTATCTTGGCTCAAGTATCACGATA